TCTCTTTTCTTCATTTTATTCCGTTAGATTTGCCGTTTTGCCGTTAAAACAATAAAAATCCGTTAGATTTTCCGTTAAAACAACAAAATTCCGTTAGATAGCCACTTTATATATAGAAGAGATGCATTGTTATCAACAAATATAAACTACTCTTATTTAAATCATTATTCAATATATGGTTATATTAGGAAAAATACAAATAAAATTTATAATTTCAACTATATTAAATACATTTTCTTCCTCTATGAAAAAATGAAAGTAAACATAGGACGGATCATGTAACAATGATGGTACAACACCACCATGTTTCATTAAATTATGGACTCAATTAAACATAGAGAACAGATGACTCATTTCATTAATTTATTCTACCACTTAAATTGGTGTTTTATCACCTCTAATGCTAAATATATTACTCATCTATTATTTTAAATTTGTCAACAATATTAGTGATAAATCCTTTGGTAATGTTATAAATTTCTATTGTTACTTACTTTGTTGAGATTGTAATATGTTATAAAGTAGATGATTGAATCCGAATATCGTTTTACAGAGATTCTATCAATTTTTATTCTAATCTAGTTTCAAACTAAATTAATGTGGTGAAAAATTATCAAATTAAGATGTTCATCTTCTATCTAATCTAAACTAATCTAGACATATCCTATTTACAAAGTTGTGGACGGCTATTGAAATTAAGTGATTAGGAATTTCAATTTTACCTAGGTTATTTAAAATTCAATAAATCAAAAAATTCATTCAGTCCATTTTCCATATGTGTTAACAATCAAATTAATCAATTTTAGTTAATAATCTCTCTTGAAACAAAACTAACCATATTCATGTACCCAAGTTTACTACATCTTTATGTAAATTCATACACATGTAAAATTATTTAATTGTAGAAATTCTACTGAGATTGTATAAATTATAATCTTCTCTCAATCTCATATAACACCTATGTCACCTATTGTACGAACTAGATAAATACAATAAGTAATCAACACATCATCAAAATTGCATGAAATCAATTGAACTAAATAAGTATTAATCTAACCTATTTATTAACACACTAATCCAATCGTTGGCCACTGCTATTACCACCACTACTGAAACTAGTGTTGGATATGCAGTTGGCCATTGCCATACGCACTCTGAACATGTGTTGGATTTGCAATTGGTTGTGGTTCAGCGTAGTAGTCGACGGTTTAGATGGTACGTCGCTGCTTTTGCCTTCAGTCGTGCTCATATGGGTGAATATGTGCTGTAGGGGGGTGGTGGTAAGTTGGAGGAGGTAGTGGTGAGTTGGAGGTGATGGTGGATTTGAGAAGGTGGTGGTGGTTGTTATGGATTTGAAATGAAAGTCGTGGTGGGTTGTGGATTTGAAGGTGCCAACAGCGATTTGGGTGGTGCTGATGGTGGTGAAGTGGGTTGGAGTGAGGTTGGAGAGATAAAGAGTATTGTGATTAGTTAATTGGATAATTATGACTAGTTAATTTGATAATTTGTGATCGACAAATAAGTAGTTACCTATAAAAATGTGTTATTGCTATTAAATTTGTAATTGTGGTTCACAATTTGTGTTTTTGTGATTGTGGTGTTGTATGCTTTGATACTTGTACATGATCGTAACCATAAATTGCAAGTTATTCTGACATTGAAATATAATTAACGCGTAACTAAATTTTATGAGATGATCACCTGATTTTTGATAAAATTCAACGAGTTTCTTATATTTGAGAGCGTATCTTGAAATTACGTAAACGAGCCCATATCAATGTTAGTATAAAATATAAATCAAGCAAATATTGCTATTCATCCAAACAAGTTGAGATGACAAAAAACTAGTTTCACGATTCTACTATTTGATCTCACCAATATTTGTCCTTTCAAAGGGTCACCAACCCCCATAACATAAGACCACATTTTGGGCAAATTACAGTAGATATTGCACGATCATCACTAAAATATTTTTTATGAAATTGGAATTGTCTAATATCAGTTTGTTGTGGAAATATGAGAGATTAAACCACAATATGAATTAATTGATCACAAGAATAACGTAATTTTGTAGAAAATGAAAATTTTATTATTACATGTAGAAAGAACACAAAGATTATGTATTTATAATTTTTCTAACTTCTTCGGGGAAAAACCAACCCAACTAAATTGTAGAGAATAGTCAAATATATATAGGGAACAAATATGAGACGTCAAAACTCTTATAGTAGAATTGTAGTTAAAGTAGAATACCAAAAACAAAATCCAAAACCAAAAATGAGACTAAAACAACGCAGGGAGGCAGAACGGTGGCGCCGCAGCGCTAGGAAATTTTCTTCCGGCATCGTGGCACCGCAACACCCACTCTCGGGTCCTTTACTCCAAAAATCTTGATTTTCTTCATCCCAATGTCCTCTTCAAGTCAACACAAGTTCCTACCCCCAATAAGTTTCCAAGTAAAACTTCAATTAGAAATCACTAAGGTTGTGTTTGATACACAAC